CTCTAATCCACTAATCCCATTACATTATTCAAAAGTAAATGGGAAAACTTCTAAATTAGAACTCTTCTTTGCAGAAATTAATTCTGAAAAGAAGAAACTCTTCTTAGGTGTTTCTGGATGTTGAATGAGAATTTGAAATTACCAGAATGTGCAGCACTAATAGCTTTTGTGAGAATTCCTTAAAAAAAAACTGAGCAAACTAGTTTACAAAACCCTTAACCTAGCAGTGTCAATTTTTAACACAGCACTTGCTTTTGGCCTACCTGGAGCTTGCTTACACAGGAAATATCCTTTTTCCACCCCAAAATAAAAACACATGCAGAGACAGAGTCATTCAAAACAGCTATTCATTTTTAAATTCCCGCAGTAAACTCACTCCAGGACAATTTAACATACAGGTAAGCCCTTAATACCATGGTTTATTTTCCTGGATGGTTTATTTAGCACAAATGGTTTTAACTGTTAGAAAGGTTAAAAGCCATTGTTTTGACTGAGATCATGCAAAATCCCACCCAGAAAGTAATTTGTCTGGGGAGGTTAAAGTCAGTTAAAAAGCAAAGCGGGATTAGAAGAAATGTTAAATTCAACCTGGACTAAAGCAGGTGTTACTGGCACCTGCTTCACTCTGATAATTTGTGCATGTGACTAGACACTTGGGGGGCACACAAGACAGGAGGCAAAGGTGCATTGCTGGTCAACAGTCTATCCCTTAATTAATCTAGGCCCTGTGAAACAACCTGGTCGTTATTTGCTAAATAGAGTAGTTGCCTGCAGTAATTGAGTCATCCAAGGCATACACGTATTAAATCACTGACATCCTCAAAAGAAGAATTTAAATATGCTTAAGACGAAATGGTGAAAAACTGCAGGACGTGCTTAAGATGAGGTCATTGTTATACACAGATTTTAAAATAGCCATTTTAACAGATTATTTTAGTAGAATTAGTATTTTAATTCATATTCAGTACTTTTTCTCATCTAATGATAGTTGAGCTTGGCTCCCCTAGTCCTTTGCAATACCAATACAATTGAGATGTTACAGGTGGTGAGCCTCCTCAACTTTACAGGAAACCAAGATAACAGGAAGACATGATTACATGATTTCAGAGTTAGTCTGAATTAGTATTTCTGGATACATTTATTTTATAAATAGATATTTAAAAAAAAAAAAGGTCTAGAAGCTTAACCAAATTTAGAAGATGCCAACTTTAAGCTGAGTAGCATTTACTGCTTAAGGTAACTAATAACTTCCTTTCCCTGATGCTGCCATACAGTAGCATCACCACGAATGTAATCCTTGAAATTATTAACATATTTTTCAAACTCTTCCAGATGATGTTATGAACTAAAATCTACATTCAAATGAAACACATCATTAATCATATGACTAACAAACCCAGTGACTTACACTGTTAAAACACAGTAGGTATATGGTAGAAAGGATATTTGAAACTTAAAATCTGCATGACTAGTTAAGAGCCAAATGCAGAAAAAAAGTATTTCCAAATTCAGTAACTACTCACGTAGATGCCCAGCCCATTAAAGGGTTCTCCCAGCGCTCCCTGTTATCAAATTCCATCTTCCACTTCTTCGTATTGTTAACACCTGCCTGCATTGCATTACGTGCCGGAACAAAAATGTGAACTTTCCTGGTTTTGATGTGCTCATCTGGAACACCAGTTAAAGCAGTGATATCCTGTGAAAAACACAGTGGAACTTGTTAAAAAAGGGTTCACATAAAAGGTTTGTAAAATAATATTGCTTATGTATTTTTACATAATTTCATGCTTTATTAAGCTACCAAAAAAAAAAAAAAAAAAAAGAAGCGAAAAAAAAGGCTGACAATATCGTACAAGTTCAGCTACATAAAAGTGAAGTTAATACACGCTGGGGCTTCTGTCATCCTGCTTTCCCTGGCTAAAGCAGGTTTTGCTTAGATTATTCACCTGAACCTGTTCATCTCCAGGCTACACAACTTGCTAGAGTCAAAGGACAGACAGGACATTCCCTCCCACCCTCTGACTCCAGCTGCAAAGTCAAGACTGCTCCAACCTGCACTAGCTAAAGAAAATCTGGCAATATATAAACTCTTCCTTCTCCCTTAAAGAAAACATTAAGTGCATGAAATATCAACAAATCCCAAATTTTTTACTTTACCATTAACAATCTAAACTTCATATAAACAGGTCTATTCACCAAACTCTTAGCGGGCCAACTATGTGCTGCACTGTAAGGGCTTTCACTTGGGCTTAAGTCTGTAGATAATTAAGAGGCACCAACATCCACACTGACATAAAAAACTATGCTTAGCATGAAGGAAGAGGCAACAGGTTATCTTTCACACAATATCCCCATAAAAGTGAAGAGCAGGTGCTAGAAATCAGTTTATCTCTCTGTTAGTGATTACATAAAATTAACCCCCCTCGTCATTTTTCAAGCTATGCATATCAGCTTTTGAGAGTCAATTCTTCTGATGTTCAAGAGAGGAACATCTGGTAGTGGCAACATTCTTCAGTATTTCTGTGAAGGACAATAGGATTCAGGAGATCTGAAACTTCAAAGAAAAAAAACACCAACCAACCCCAAACCAAAACGAAAACCACAGGCATTGTAACATTGTATACAGTCAGTAGTAGGATGCTCTACCAAGGTTTGGCTTGTGAGTCCTCAACAAATAAACCTAACAAAGATAAAAACTGAAGGATCGCAAAACCAGCTAAAAAATATTAACTCAGTTTAACAAAGAATAAGATAGGAAAAAAACCTCACAAGAATTACTGTGAAAAATTACCCTCAGCAGCATCTGATATAATCAAAGTGAACTTTCTCGCTAAAAACTAAACAGTAATTACATAAAATTAACCTGTCAGTTCACCCTAGGAAAGAGTGAAATCAAACATCAAATCCATCTCTAAGGATGCTAAACTACTCCTGTTCTTTTCACACTTAAAAGGCCAGTGGGAGCTCCTTGGTCTCCCTCCTTGCCTCCCCTCCCCTTCAGTCCTCTCTCCAGGAACAAATAGTAAACTGGTAGAAGTCCAAAAAAGTGCAGCAAAACTTTGGGCACACTGAACTCATCTCACCAGTACTGCCATGGCTTGAATTAGAAGGCAAACAAGTTTAAATAAAACTGTGGCTTTACATGTCTGTAGCTACTAACTTTATGGGATTTTGTTTTGTGGCAATCTTAAAAGCTCTTGGTGCTGTCACCAGATCATCTTTTGAAATTAGGCAAGTCTCATTTTTCATTTTACTTCAAAAAATAAGTTTTAGGAGGTCAGTCCCTCAAAACTACACAAGGGAGCAAGTTTAAAGCATTTGACTTGTATTTGCAATTAGAACAGCAGGGGAAACAAACAAGCACGCAAGCTAATTTTCCAACTTCTGACACTTCTACACAGACGACCAAAAGAAACTGTCAAAATATCTCAACAGTTCCATTATAAATGCTTTCATCAGGACCAAGTAATGTTTATTTTTAATATGAGTCTAGCAGTGATATGAAAAAGAACCACGACCAGTCACTGGAATGTTGCAACATGTATGTAAAACACCACCTGCCAGACTGGCATTTCTGAACTGAAGCTCAAATCACAGTGTTAGAAGGCAATAGCTTTAAGTTTTCTTACTTGAATTGTCAAAGTGCTTTGTTTAATGAAAAGATTTTTACCTGCAGTAGCTTGGTGGGGCTTCAATGTTTCAGCTTGCCTGTTACTAGGAATAGGCTACTGTATTAGCCTTTATTTCTGTATTTAACAAACATGCTTATTTAGAAAATGCAAGCACATTCACAAAATATTATTTTTCCCCTCTGAAATAATCTGCTACATGCAAAAATTCTAGGCTTGTTATCATCAAATGCCTCCAAATATGCAAGCTTCAAAATAGCTGAAAACTATTATTTTTTTTTTAGTATTATTATTCTCAGTAACTCGTATGTCCATTACGAATTTTATGCCTCATATTTAGAGGGGTTTTAACTGCTCCAGAATTAGCCAGAATTATTAAAAAAAGATATCATGTTAAATACCATTATGGACATACAGAGTTTCCTCTTTTGAAGTCTCCACATCAGAGAATCATAAAAATACTACACACCAGTAGATACAGAACACAATCTAAAGCCCAGTAAATACTGTACTTGTGAAGTAACTGTAGTAAAAAGAATGCTTAGAGTTGTTCATCTGGATGAAAATAAAAACAGAACTGCAGACAAACGGTAAGTCCCTTCAAACCATGTTTTTTCGGGCACTCAGTTGGCTCCAAATCAAAGTTATTTCACTAATAATATAGGATTCACCCCATAAAAATCTTTTCAATGTGAAAATTAAAACCTGCCTACTTTCCAAAACTAAAATATCTACATGGTATTGCTAGCTCTTCATACGTTGATTCATCATAGCTAAAGTTTCCGTGCCTTCTGGGAATATAGCAATCATTTATTGATATCTTCCCCATTTTGAGGCTGGCAATTGAACAGACAGTTTTTAGGACAATGAGTTTCTGGTTTCTGAAGCCCAAGTTGTCCTGACAAAATCACTGTTTTTGCCTGCTGTAGACATGTAAGATACTGTAGCATAGCTGAGCTGTTGCCAAAGATATGGAATAAAAAGGCTTGGCATCTATCACATACTTGACACCTAAAGAGCACAGAAGCTCTAAAATTCCTATTCCCTGTAGGCGCGCTCTTAGTCTAGACAAACTGATTTCTCACACTTTTAAAATGCATTACAACACTCTATTGTGATCATTTCATCCACACAGCTCCAGCTAGTGACAGAAGAACCTGTCCTTTAAGCGACATTTCAATGGGCTAAAGCTCCCGCTCTAAGATGCCATTAAAACAACATAATACTTGAAAAGAACTATGCTGCACTGGGTTGAACTCTTTACTGGGTCTTCAGTTCTTTGTTCTGAGTTCAAGTTCTCATTGAAAATACCTGTGAACCAACTTTCCAAAACAAAGATGTTTTTGACAGCTAGTTTCACATTACTATCTCTTTTAAGTGTTCCATACTGAATTTTGCAATATTAGCATATTAAAGTATTAGTGAGGTGTTCAGCATTCACAAGTCTAAATAATAAGGTGACATTATAAAAGGCTTGAGATTTGAACTGTATAGGTTTGCTTTACTAAAAATTAACAACCTGCTTCACATTTTTAACACAGCCTATCATCTAAAAGGTGCATTTTAACATTCCATTTTTCTTAATATACAGAGGGGAAGATTTAATAGCAGCCTATTGTTCTTATTTTTATTTTTAATTAAAATACCCTTTTGAAGCACTTTGGCTTTTCTTAGAATAAGCTGAGAGGGTCAAACCACTTTTTTTTTTTTTTTAATAGCAGAAATCACATTAAATTGCTTACAAAAGAAGAGGAGGTTTTGTCTTTACTATAACTTACACTATCTGAGAACACCTGTCATACTGGAAAGCCTTGTAAAACTGTTCTGGAAAGAGTAATATGATGCATGTGCTATCCAGCAGGGAAAAAACTGGTTCACAGAGGCCGTGTCAATGAAAGCATGACTTTTAAAGGAACCAAGAACTTCCTTCTTTAAGGACTCCACTAACAGCCCAAATTCCGAATGGGACAAGAAATGGAACTCAGGGGAAAGGACAAAGTAATGAACAGTAACTCTGTTAACTCAGGGGAAAGGACAAAGTAATGAAAGCATCTCTGAAAACTAGTGTTTTTCAATAGATTGGTCAGGTGTGCATAAAGGAGTCATGTTTCTCCTATGACATTTCTTTCCATGCATAGACTAAAACTGTATATAACCACTATCAACTATCTACTGTTAAGCACACACCCCCCCCTTTTTTTTAATAAAGGAAACAGGGAACAAGTAATGGGAAGTTGATGTCAAAACACAGAAAAACCTCCCAGCAAGCTTCCAGCAACCACCCAGGATTTAGAGTCTTGCTAGCCGCTCTCTTTTCAATACCAGAATTTCACACATTTCAATGACCATTATGACTTCAAAGAATCAAATTTTCATCATTGTCCGTCATCTGCCGGTTGATTTGTATAAAGGAGTTCTTCTGCATGCACTCCAGACAAAGGACTCCTTACTTTCGTGGCTATATATCAAGTTTAAAAGTTCTGTTTGTGACAGTTGTGTCTGTGGTAAATTAGGGTAACACTGAAGGAGTGCAGCTGCTCTGCAGGAACCTCCTTTTTGGCATCATTTCACTTAAATAAAAACTGAATAATTAGCCTCTGCCTTTATTAAACCGCAAAAATGCCACTGGCCTTAGTAATTACTTCCGGTTGCCCCACCTACTTAACCTCAATAGTTTACACTTGTTAGAAAGGAGGGAAAGCAGAAGTTTTCTGTACTTTATAGGAGTTTACAACAGCTTGCTCTCTTCCCCACCCCCAGCATGTTTTACCAGACTAAGTGCATAAAGTTTTGGTATAAATTCATGTTGCAATACACTTTCTTTAGGAGCTGTTATATCAAAGCACAGAACATCTTGCATAATACCCACAAAATAGCTGCTGTGAAAGTTGTTTTTTTACTTAGTGTGCTCAGCTGCTTAAGCTGTAACTCAGGATGAGAACATTTACACTTCTACACTTCAATACAGTATTTCTGAAACAAATCTAAGAGAACAGAACCTACTATGCAAATTTTGAGTGGAAAAATGGAGCAGAATGAACTAAACATGGTCAGGCAACATTTACCTAACAGCTACAGACATAACAAGGGGGAAAAACGCATATTTGCCCTTAGGAAAGTCTGTATCACACAGAATACCGTTTTCTTTTAGGCTTATAATAACTTTGCATTATCACAGTAATCTGTGAACAACATGGTGTTACCCATAATATGTTCCTCTTACCTAACCATCCTGCAGATCAATTAATGAAGTTGAGAAAAGGAGTAAAAGAACCATACTTTAAAGAGGAAGCAAACATTGTAAACAGGTTTCAGTAATAATAATGGCTGCATGAATGCATCTATTAAAAAAAAAATAAAAATCTTTCTTCATAGGCAGTTTTGTGGAAAACACTAAAGGAAAACCAGTCATGAATAAAAATATATAAAGTGGGTCTAACTGAAGCAGAAATGGAATCAACACAAGTCCATTATAATACTTTTTATACTAACTGGCATTATGCAAAGTAAGGCTCAGCATCCAAAACAGCACAACATTTGCAAATGTTGCTAGCCTCAGCAAACTTTATTCACCAGTTTGCATTTCACTGCTGAGGAGATATTACTTGTAACAGCCACGATGGCTAAGCATTCACTGCTCTCAGAAAACCTTGAGAACTTCCATGTCATCATGTCTTTTCCTTCCACACACACAAGTGGCTGGGTTTTTCTAATTACCTGTGAGGCACTTAAAAATACAATTTTCTACAGCATACAACTATCAAGCCTTCTTCAAGAACTTCACAATCCTCAGGTAAAAAAAAGTGCAAAAAAAACCAATTAGCTAAGACTACAGTAAAGTCTTTAAACCATAAACTTTTAAATAAAACGGAAGACAGTCTTAGTTTACCTGTATTTAGAAAAAGAATGATAACTGAACAATTGAAATAACCTGATTCCTCTCAGAATAGCTTACAGTTATGGCAATACTACTTCAATGCCATAAGGAACCATTTCTTAATTGAAAAAAAAACAACACCACACAAACCCCAAACAAACAAAACCAAACAAACAAACAAAAAACCAAACAAAAAAACAGGCAGAAAGTTTCAAAGGTTAAAGTAATAGCAGCTAGGGCTCACCTAGAATAGAAAGTTTTGTACTGAATCCTCTGATTAGTTCAATTTTGTATGTACTGTTAAATAAATATCATACTGTAGTTCACTTGTAGTTCAGTGACTGTATATTCTTTTAAACAAAATGGATTCACTCTGCAGTTCTATTTATGCTAAAATTCCTAGTGTAAGTCACAATAAGCAGATTGACTTGTAAAACTAAACATAATACTTAAAGAGTATCTTGGTGATTTATTCACTAAAGATAACTCTTTAACTTGCAGTCTATAAAATGTAGCTTTGATCACGGACATTCAACTAGCAGCTCAGGATGTTGTCTTCCATATCTTAAGTAAGAGCCAAAATCAAGGCTACTTTTTCACATTGGAAATAATTTGGGTGCTTTTTGTGTGTTTCCAATGCCACTTTAAGTCCTTACCTTTAACATTCATTAAACTTACCTGTATTTACAAAATAAATCATAAGCATATGAGTTAAATGAATTTTGTGCAGTTGCTGTTTTTTCAGGAATTCTGCCAGGAAGAAGAAAATTAACAGTTCTGACTATCCTTATGCTCATTTGTAAAGCTTACAAAGCTTCATTTAAATTAACCATTAGGAAATTTTCCAAACGAAGGGCACGCAGACTTCCCAAATACAAACACCACTTATTCATCATTTTCAGCCTTTGGGGGAGAAGGAGCCCAACCTGTCTTAAAAGTGTGTCTGGGCTGTTTTGTAGAAAGGTCTCTTACCAGTTCAGGCTGCAAAAGATCCAATGGAAGCAGGATGTTCAGAGCCTAGCAGTGAACTGAGACACTACTTACACATAAAGTAGTACAATTGCTGCTGTGAAGCAGGAATACCCTGGCCAATTCACACTTCAATCGGTGGACAGCCAGGTCTGAGTTGCTGAGTTCAAATTTAAATGTTAGCAAAGTCTAAAGACTTGATAACTCTGGTGAGATTTCCTAGGATTAATTCATAAGAGAGATTAGCACTACACTATATGAAACATTCATTGTGAATTCACTTTTAACTAGCTAACGATATCCCTGGCCAGCAGCTAGAGTAAGGAATACTATTTTTTTTCCTTTTTTTTTTTTCATTTCATTATTGTGCATTCTGGTGTTGTCTTCCTTTCACCTCCCAACTCCCTATTTCATAGTAGCTGTGAAACACCATTTAAGGGTTAAGATTTAAGAAATTATTTAGTCTTTATTTAAAAAAAAACATCAAAGGTGGGGTCAAAAAAAAAAGGCAAAAAGTACTGTTTTGAATACTAATTTCACAATACTAGCGTATGGTCTTCTACTAAGAACAATATTGAGAAATCCTGAGTTCATGTAAATCAATGCCTGCCTTCACTGTGATGCATGTATCTATTCTTTACAGGTCTTTTGTAAAGAAAGTGATTTCTTATAAAGAAAGATCTTTGCCACATAGTAACATGTGGTGTGAGGCATACGGGAGAAAACCAGAAGTAAATCCCCAATCAAGAAATGCAAATTTAGAGCAAAATCCCTGTTGGTACATGCTTTTTAGAAGACAAGTTGCATTTAAGAAACTACAAAGAAGCCAGACCTGTTAAAAGCTGTTCCTTACCCTAATGCAAGATGTAATGCTTCTATGTAATATGCATGGACTTTAAAAGTGGAAAGCAAGTGCTAAATAGTGTACATAATTTCCATACACAGCAGGTAGTGATGCAAGAAAAGAAGTGACACAGTTACCCTTGCTAAAAAGATGAACAATAGAGAACTGTTATGCAGTGTTAGCATACTGAAGGTCTATGCATCAGGGATGTTGCGGCTATTAACAGCTTAAATGTTAACTGTATTTTCTTAATTAGTGCATACAACTTTTAAGCCTTAAAAGTGTTTTAGAAGATTCTTTTCTGAAAGTAACACAGTCATTATTCCCTGGTGGGGATGCAAAGAGTTGATGAGGCTTCAACTGTTTCAACATCATCAATAAAATACACAGTATTAAGATACTGAACAAAACCAATTTCTTTTACATTTTTCTTTACTGTTAAAACGAAGCTTTCTATAATCTCTCTCTAAAAAACTGAACCATAACTAGAATATATTAGTGTTACTTCACAAAATGTTTTTAGCTTGTTCTATCTAGAAGTCTGTCCCTGTAATATGTGCTTTGGCCTTCATATGCTTGGCCTTTAAGGTTACTTACAGGACAGAAATCATGATCTTACACTAATGCAACAGAGAAGAACCCATCACCAAAAACTACAAACCAGAAGAGCAATAATAAACCACTAGTGCAAACTACAGTTTTACTCTTAAAAAAAAAAAAAAGCTTCTTCCTGGTTAAGATGCTACTCATCAGTGAAAACTTTAAAAGATGTAATCCATGATGATAATGCTGGCCTATACAGAAAAATACTGCTATGTATGTTAATGAATATATGTGCACACCTACAAAATGAATCCGTAAGAGAAAACTCTCCAATTATTCAGATGTTTGTAATCAGAAATACATACACCATAGTCTCAATTTTTTAAAATATTTGCCACAGAATTATAACAGCCTCAAAAAAAAAAAAAAAAACCAACTGTATTTGGTATGTCTTCACCATTTCGTAGAAATTATAAGCTTATAGCTCAGCTTCTATCATTTGTTAACTCAGCTTTCACACTAACAGGTAATAGGATAAAATTTATCTTCCGATCAAGTAAAGATTCTCTTCTCCACTAAACATAAGCCATTCCACAAGCTTTATGGAATGAACATAACAGCATACATTAAAAAGTTACATAAGAGTTTGAACAATTTTCCTAGAGTGGATGCTTCACAACCCAAGAACTAAACTGCTTATTAGAACTCTGGGTCTGCATATCAGATGCTCTCTCCATGGTTCATGTCCCAGATTAATATACAGGTTGATGTTTGCAATTTGAGAAAGTAGCCATGAAAGTAGTTCAAAGATGCCTCGTAAGGAAGACACCAAGGCCTAGAAATGCATCTGGTTTCATTTCATCATCGATCTTCTAAGTGGAAAGACATAGGACTGAAGAAGCACCAAGCTCTCTTGCATCATGACCAAGATGTTCAAGTAATTCCACAGCATTACTGGGCTTTCCAGACAAGGAATTTTTTTTTTTTCTGACTTGATAAAATAATTCAGCTAGAACTTCTTGACTAGAAACAGCTTTCCAGTCTGGATGTAGAACTTGGTTAGCTATGCTAAGATTTGTGTCTTAAATCTGTAACTTAGATATACTACAAAAATGCAGAAAGACACATTTGGCTGAACAGAAAAGCAAGCACTCTACAATGGATTTTTTTATTCATTATTCCAGACAGGACACGAAGAATTCATATCACCTATAAATATATTTCATAACAAGGGATACTAACTTAGGTGTCCCAGGAAAGGTTCAGATAATGTATTGTTTTATGAGAACATGAGAATACTTACTTTCCAGTCTTTAAAAAGCACAACTACTGAATAAACAGCTCCAAAAATAGTTACCTCTTACTCCTGTTGATTGCTACACTGTATTTTTTACTCCTTCTACCTGATTAGAAACATTGCTCACATATTTACACTTACAAAACCAAACAAGTATTTGCATGTTGAATAACCCTTTGGAAGCCAGACAAACTAAACATGGCACAATGATGCTGCTTTAATTTGTTCTGAGCAGCCATTGTAGCAAGCTCTTCGAAACAGTATTCTCTGATAGAAAATTAAATACTATGTGATTGGGGGGGGCCCCCCCCCCGACGGGACGACGGACACTGCCTGCATACGCTTCAAAGAAACATATTCTTTGACCCAGTGCTCCAGACTAAAGCCTTGAAATTTTTGCACAAGAATGCTGCACGAAGGAAGCCCAGACAAAAGAGACACTTGAGATGTTAGAAGGTTGTGTAACCCCAATCTCAGACACTCATTCCAATACCCAGCAAGATAGAACTACCATGCACCAAAAGAAAAGGCTCTCAGACAAAGAAATCCAAATCCTTTACCCGTTCCTAAAACCAAAATAAACTTACATGGGGATGAGACTGCAATTGCTCTCACTGATAAAACTGTGTATCATTTTATATGAGGTTCTGAGCTATTTGTAAAATGTGTAGTTTTCTAAACAAAACCAAAATTCACTCAAGCTAAAGCTTAGTAATAAAGCAATATTTATTGCTCTTAAAAGACAGCTGAAGGTGATGGCAACAT